TAGGGATGGAAGAGAAAGCGAAAGGAGAGAGGAGGAGAGAAAGAGAGAAAGAGAGAGAGTAAGAGAAAGAGAAAGAGAAAGAGAAAGAGAGAGAGAGAGACAAGGAAAGACAAAGAGATGGAAATAAAGAAAGAAATGAAGATAAAGGAAGATAAAGAAAGAGAAAAGAAAGAAAGAACACGAAAGAGAGAAAGAAAGCGAGAGAGATTGAGACTGAGAATGAGGGGGGAGGGGGCAGCCTGTGGAATGTTGAGAATGTATACCTCTCCTACCCCCCCTCCACCCCCACCCCCTTCCCCACCTGCTGGCCAGCTTAGCTCCCCCTTTCACCACAAAAGGAGAGGGGGGAGAGGAGGAGAGGGGGAGGAGGAGGAGAGGGGGGAGGGGGAGAGGGGTAAAGGGAGGTTAAGACCCCCAAATAGTTTTCAGAGCTATAACAGGCATACACAAAACTACTATGTCAACATCTTCCGTCTCGTCCATTCATTCATTCATTCGCCCTCCCTCTCTCTCTCTCTCTCTCTCTCTCTCGCTCTTTCTCTCCTTCTCTCTCTGTTTCTCTCTCACACTCTCTCTCTCTCTCTCTCTCTCTCCTTCTCTCTCTCTCTCTCTCTCTCTCTCTCTCTCTCTCTTTCTCTCTCTTTCTCTCTCTTTCTCTCTCTCTCTGTTTCTCTCTCACACTCTCTCTCGCTCTTTCTTTTTCTTTCTCTCCCTCTCTCTCTCTCTCTTATCCGGGAATAAGATAGAAACGGGAGGGAATACGAGAAAAGGATAATGAACGCGAGGAACCATTTCAAAAAGCTTAAAAAAAAAGAAAAAGAAAAAAAAGAAAGAAAAAAAAACATTTTACCCTCCCTCCTTCCCTCCCCTCTCCCCTCTCCCTCTCCCCCTCCCTCCCCATGATAACACGAATGAATGGAAAGGTTCAGGTAAGTGGGGTGGGGTAGGGGAGGGGAGAGGGGAGAGGGGAGAGGGGAGAGGGGAGAGGGGAGAGGGGAGAGGGGAGAGGGGGGGAGGTGAGGAGAGGTGGGGGGATATGAAGGGTCAAAGATAGATCGTAAAATTCAGTGAAAACCCTGGAAAGGGGGAAATGGAGGGGGAGATAAAGAGATAAAAGAGAAAGAGAGGAGCAACGACGGAGGAGAGAAGTGATAAAACGAGAGAACCTAAGCAGGGAAGCGAAGATGAGGAGAGAGGAATATGAAAGAGGAACGAAGCTAGGACACAAAATGAAAAATAAAAAGGAATGGGGAGGGAAGAGGGAAGGGAAGAGAACGGAAAGGAAAAGGGAAAATAAGGAAAAGGGAAAAGAAGGAAAAGATAAAGGGAAAAGAAGGAAAAGATAAAGGGAAAAGAAGGAAAAGATAAAGGGAAAAGAAGGAAAAGGGAAAAGGAAGAGACGGGAAGAGCTGGGTGCGGGGAGGGATGAAGGGAGGGACGAGGCGAAAAAGTTGAACGACGCGACATGAATGAGGACCCCTCACTCTATCCCCTTGAACAGTGAAGGCATCGAACACACACACGCAACACTCGACAAAGGCCACCTTCTACTGCCTTATCGGGCGCCATTCACGACAAATACGCTCAGATTCGCAGGTTGATAAAGACAGGAAGAAGGAAGAAAAAAAATTATAATCTGAACACAAGGGAGAGAGAGAGGGAGAGGGGAGGGTGGGAGGGAGGGAGGGAGGGAGGGAGGGAGGGAGGGAGGGAAGGAGGGAGAGTGAGAGAAAAGAGGAGAGAGAGGGAGGGAAGGAGGGAGAGTGAGATAAAAGAGGAGAGAGAGAGAGAGAGAAAAGAGAAGAGAGAAAAGAGAACAGAGTGAGATAGGAGACGAGAGGAGAGGAGAGGAGAGGAGAGAGAAATATACACAGATAGAAGAGTTGGATAGGACTAGGCGATAAGGGGATAGGAAATGAATAAAAGAAAAAGGGGGGGTGGGGGGACAATCCAAGATGGCGGCCATCCTTGGGTCCGGAGGATGTATCGATATCCCGGGAGGAAAGACCGGAAACGGGGAATGAAAGAGATCCCGATAATGACGGAGATAGGCGTAGATGAAGATACGTAGATCGATAAGAGACGGAGACCGAGAAGAGAGAGGGTGGGAAAGAGGGAGGAATGGGGATGAGGAAAAGATCGACGGAAGATTTTCACAAAGAAAAGAGAGAAAAAGAAGAAGAAAAAAAAAAGTGAGATGGAGATGAGGTAGAGAGGAAGGAACAGCTGTGGATCGGGCAGCATTAACAACACAGGAAAATGAAACAGCAGGTAGAGAGAAACACGGGAGTGAGGTGGGGGGGGAGGGGTGGGGGCGGAGATGAGAGGGGGGGGTGACCTCTCCAAGAAAGGGTTGGGGTGTTTGTTGGCCACGGGGGGGAGGGGGGAGGAGGAGGAGAGGTCTTCGGCATGAATGGAAGAAAATATAAATGAATGAGATCTCACGTAGGGACCTCTCCCTCCTCCCCCCTCCCCCCTCACGAGGACAGGTAGAGGAAAGAAAACTGGGGATGGTCGAAATTGAGAAAAATTGAAAAAGAGAGAGATAGGGAAATATAATAACGAAGAAAACGTCAATCTGGAACGAGCAAAAGAGAGAGATAATGATGATAACGATAAATGAAAAAAGAAAATGAAATATGATGAAACATGATGAAGGCAACTTCTGATACACACACAAAAAAATGAACGCTGGAAGATTAAACAGACAGACACATACCTACACGATCTAAATGAAGGGTAGAGAGATATCGAGAAAAAACTCGGGGTCCAGAAACCAATTCGAAAATTAAATAATAAAATATAATAATAAAAAAAAAATATCGCTTGACCATACCTCAATACCTCTTTACTTACGCTAAATCCGTGACGCGAAGGGAAGGGGGGGGGGGGGGTGAGGGAGAGGACACTGACCTCGTAACTCCGCCTGTGTCACGTGTCATATGCCACGTATGCAAGTGTCTGGCGCACAATATGGCACAAACCACGAGCCACAACTAAACATAAACAGACATACAGACACATGCGCTTTAAAAAAAAAAAAAAAATCCTCTCGCTAGCCATCTTCTCGTTCGTATCCCCTCCCCCTCCCCCCCTCCCCATTCCTTCCTTCCCCTACCCCCCTCCAAGGTGACGCGGGTGGACATAAAGGATTTGGGGGGGGAGGGGAGAGGAAAGAGGGGAAGGGGGGGGGAAAGAGGGGAGATGAGGATTGTTGGAGAGAGAGAGAGAGGGGGAGAGGGGGAGAGGGGGGGAGGGGGGAGGGAGGAGGCTGTAGTGTTGCCACATGGCCAGCTCCTACTTATCACCTCTGAACCAATTTGTTGTTTATACACGCCAATGGAGAGAGAGTAGTGTTGCCACTTCGCCCCTTTTTTTAAAAACTACCTTGGGCTTCTCAAACGATCGCTTGTTGCTTGGGTCTTGCAATGCACAAAAAACGGAGGACTTGCAACGGCCATGGTAATCTTGCCAGCTGAGGAATCATGTATCTACTACCGCTAATCATTAAAAAAAATACATATATATATTGACGTTTCGTAACTCACGCGGCACCTATTGGCACCTAAGAGTTCAAAAGGTTTAGCGTAAGAAACCCAATCTTCGTTTAATAACAATATTCATTCATTCTTTCGCTTAATTCATTCTGATGGCCTGCCGAGGTGGGAGGAGGTGGGGGGGGTCAGGGGATTTTGGGGGGGGGGAAGTCACCTGCACGAAATATGGGATGAGATGGGCGGAGGAAGGGGGGGAGGGAGAGAGAAAGAGAAGAGAGAAGAGAGAAAGAGAAAGAGAAAGAGAGAGAACAGTGGGGTGAGGAGAAAAGAAGGGAGAGGGAAGAGGAAAGAGAGAGAAAAAGGGGGGAAAGGGAAGAGGGAAGAGAGAGATAGAGAGAGAGAGAGGAAGAGAGAGAGAGAGAGAAGAAGAAGAAGGAGAAGGAAAAAGCGGCACAGACACCTCGAAGGCTGGCGCCAGTCTACCGGTTCTTATCGTGTCCCCTTATCATTTATCGCCACAGGTTATCCACTATCTCCGAAGACCCTGTCACTTCTCGAAATCCGGAAAAAAACAAAAAATAAATAAATAGATAAATAAATAAATAAATCCCTAAAAAAAATACGATCTCATTCTGCATGTGCATTTATGCTAATGAATGCGTGCGCGGCGGGTGAGACAGGTGAGGGTCGCGTTCCGCTGGGAGGGGGTGGGGGGAGGGGGGTGGGGGTTGAGGTAGTGGTGGGGGGAAGGGGTGTTGAGGTGGGGTGGGGGTGGGGTGGGGGTGAGGAGGTTGAGGTGGGGTGCGGAAGGGATGAGGTGGTGGTGGTGGGGGGTGGGGTGGGGGGGAAACTAAATCCTCACAGCGGCGGAATCACACGCAGACCGGAAGACCCAAATCGTTTTATTCTCTGCCCCTACCCCCCCTCCCCCTCCTTCTGTCGTCGTCAGCGTGCATGCGCGCTCGCACACCCCACCTGACACCAGTACCGCTCATCACGCTCACCTATGGGTCGCCCCTCCTCCCCCCCTCCCTCCATATCCCCCATTTCTCCCCCCCTTTCCCGTCCTCCCTCTCCCTCCCTCCCCCTCCCCCCCCTCCCCCGACTCGCCATCACCCCCGCTCCTTTCGCCACTTCCGGATTAGCGGTTTTGTCGTTTTGTCTGACGTAGTTCTGCTTAGGTTATTTTCTTTTTCTTCTCCTCCTTTTAATCTTTACTGCCTCGCTTGCTTCTCAGGCTTTGTAGTTCGCCTACTGTCTACCTAGGCCTACCATACTTTGAACCATAGAACCCATTAACTATTTACCTATTTACCTATTAACCACAAGCATCCTCCAGAGAGACGCCCTGCTACTATATAAGAAAACAAAACAAAAATGCCATATCCAATACCCCATTAAACCACAAACCTCCCCCCCCAAGCATCCTTCAAGACACATTAAAAAAAACAAAAAACAAAAAACAAAAACAAAAAATGGTTAAAAAAAGGAAGAGAAACTCACCCTAATCTTGTGTCTATTAAGCGCATCTCGATCTCCCGAGTTCTTGGCGTTGCCGAGGAAGAGGTGGGGAAGGATCTCCACGGGGAAACCCAGGTCGTCGAGGGGGGTGTCCCTCCCGAGGCTGGAGTCACACGCTCCTTCCACGTCCTCCTCGGCCTCCAGGCACGTGATCCTTAGACTCTTGAAGCCCACGATCGGCGGTTCGTTGGGCAGCGCGCTCTCGCACCACTCGGGAAACCGGGACCGGAACTCCTCGAAGCCTCCTGTTGGGGGACGGGAAGGATTAGACGGCGAAGCAGGAGAGTAGGAAGGATTGGGGAGGGTTGGGTGCGTGCGGGGGTTCGGTGGGGATTAGGTTGGGAGGGGGGGAGGGATTGGGGGGTCACGATCTGGGGTGCGGATTGGAGGACGAGACATGGTAATAAATTGGGTTAAATGTTTAAATATCTTGACAAGAGGAAATCAGTGTAATTCTTCATTCCATCACTGGAAATTACAAAATACAAACACATCTGAACGCATCTATACACACACACACACACTTTCAACCAAAACGCCCCCATCCCCCGTCCACGTCACATACACGCGCCCACACGCCCCGGGGCCACGTCGCGCAGCAAACAAGATGGGCGGAAGATGTCTCAGTCGGAGGTCCATACCACACGAAACGAGACTGACCGACGGCGCCCCTACAACCGGAAACTTGCGGCCGCCGCTTGACCAGTCCGGGAAATCTCCGCTCGGTACTGGTGTACTCTGGCTGCGCGACGACGGTCGGTTAGGTGTACTCCTCCTGCCTGCCTCCCCCCCTGCCTCCTCCTCCTCCTGCCTCCCCCTGCCTACTGCTTACTGCCTACTGCCTCCTCCTCCTTTTCTCCTCACCTCCCACCGCCTTCTCCTCCTCCTCCTCTTCTTTTCCCCCCTGTCTTCTTTCTCCTACTCTTCTCTCCCTGCTTCCTTTTCCTACTTTCCCTCTGATGTCTCCTACTCCTCTATCTCCTCCCCCGCTGATTTCTCCTTCTCTTCACCCTCTTCTTCTCCCCCCCTTCCCCCCTCCTACTCCTCCTCTCTGGTCTCCCAAACCCCGTGGGCTGCGGTGCGGAGGAAGACCTGAGCAAAACCTTCCTCCTACACCTCTTCCTCTTTCTCCTCATTATCCACCTTCGCCTCCTACTCCTTTTCCTCCTCCAGGAAGACCAGCGACTGACCCTACCTCATCCCTACAGTTTCCTTGTCTTCTCTATCGCCAAAATCCCCATCCCCTCCTCCATCCCCTTCCTTCCCTTCCCCACCCTCCCCCCCACCTCTCCATCCACTGTGAAGGAGTGAAGTGTCCCTTCCCCCCCCACCTCTCCGTCCACTATGAGGGAGCGAAGTGTCCCTTTTCGCCAAGATGAGGAAGGACTCTCTCATCGTGAGGCAGAACGGTGAGGTCTAAGTGGGTCTACGGCGGCCGAGTGTCCAGAGCCTCGAGGCATGCTTTGTTTACACCCGAAACTCTCCTCTCCTCCTCCTCCTCCTTCTCCCCCTTTCTCGATCTCTTCGTCCTGACAAGCGGGAGAAAGAAGAGGGAGTGGAAGGAGAAAGAGAGGAAGGGAAGGGAAGGAGGGAGGAGAGCGAGCAAGAGAGAGAGAAAAGAGATAGAGAGAGAAGAGAGAAGACATGGAGAGAGAGACGACAGCCACAACAACGTCAGCGGCACACGTGGGCATCGACCAGGGCAGCACGTGGCCCCCAAATCGGCGAGTCTCGCGGCCTCCGTCCCGCCGCCGGACTCTTTCGCCGCCGTGGAGACAGCGCGCGGAGGGCACAGGAATGTAGCGCACAGACGCCTTCCAAGTCCGCAAATGACGTCACACACACGCACACAGCCAGCCAACCATCAACAACAAAGAAAATTTCTAAAAACATTGACACAACAGGCCATCTGGCGTTTTCTTATCCCCCTCCTTCTTCCCCTGCGTTGATCTCCGCACATGACAGCACCTCTTTCGCACGCACGCACACACACGCACACACACACACACACACACCCGGGTGACAGCACCACCTCCACCACACACAATCCCGCGACCACCACAAGAAACAGCGCTGGAATCTGCCCTGGCCATCAACCTCCAGTTAATAGCGGCTTTAATTAAGCTAGCGGAGTCCAGAATGCCACTAAGGCAATCATTATGCAACGCCGTAATTAGCAGATAATCAAAAAGAAAGAAGGGAAGAAAGAAAGAAATAAGAAAAAGACCCAAACTCTCCCTGTGGCAAATAAGCACTTCGGACCCACGGCTTGGCTAATGACGCCTCACTTGTTGCGAGGAAACAGCCCCGCTTGGAACAATGGGCAGTTTTCCTTCTTGGAGACGTGCAAACGGTACACATGCACACATGTATACTTATGTACACATGAGATATGCACACGCACAAGCTCTCTATATCTCTATCTCTCTCTCATACATACATACATACAGAGAGATAGAGATAGAGATAGAGATAGATAGATAGATAGATAGATAGATAGATAGATAGATAGATAGATAGAGAGAGAGAGAGAGAGAGAGAGAGAGAGAGAGAGAGAGAGAGAGAGGGTCCCTCTACCCCTTCCCGTTTGGAAAGGAACAGTTGGACGACAGAGGAACCTTTTTCAGAGAGGGAGAGGCGAGGGAGGAGGAAGGAGAGGGAGGGGGGAAAGGGAAGGAAGGGGTGAAGAGGGGGGGGGGACGCAATAATAAAAGCTCTCTTTGCTCTTTGCACTAATTCCGGAGAAAGACAGCTTCGGGGAGCGGCGGAAGGAAATTCCGGGCGACGGCAAGACATCCGTACTACACACTACTCCTCCCTCATTACCGCATTAACTCCCGACCGCTAAATGATAGTCGCCGACTGCCTCGACACGAGGACATGTACGCGGCCTCGTATGCGCACACGCGACCACACGAACGTACACACACACACGTTACTTTCCACACCTGCGCGCACACAAGCATACACACACGAGTGCCCGAAAACAAGGGGGCGGGCACTGTCTGGCACTGGCGGAGTTGCGGCTCTGGACGGCGTTCCGCGCGAGAGGTGGAGGACCGCCGGACGCAGCACGCATGGCAACCAGAAATTCGAAATAAAATGGAAGAGAGAGAGAGAGGAAAAAAAATGCTAAGTGCATGGCAACATAGCAAATGCATGGTTGTACCCACCGGACTATCCAGTCTCTCAGATTCGAGCACACGATCGCGGGCGCGCGAGCACGCCACGCCGAGACTCGCATCACGAATCCGCGAAGAAAATTGTCCAAATAAAGACAAAGAGTGGCCAGGCCGAGGCTCGCATTCCAGCACACCCGCCAGCTCCACCGCCCCCTCCCCGTCCACGCCCGCCCCGGCCGCCCACCAGCCACCCACAGTACATGGAAATGCCGAAGGAGGGTCGTGAGGGCGGCCCGCGCTGTGCAGGAATGCGCGGGAGGGAGGAGGAGGAGGAGGAGGGAGGAGAAGGGAGGCCGCGGAGGGAAACGCCGCGGAGGGAAATGAAAAGGTAAACAGCCAAATGGGAAGAGCAAACGCGCGGGATGAACGGCGCGTTGTGAGGCGCGGGCGCTCAGGTGCGGCGTGTGAGTGAGGTTTGTGCGCCTCAATGAGGGAGTGTGTGAGGGCGCCGCTATGGGGCTGAATGAGGAGCCCGAGAGGAGAGAACTCAAAGAATAGTTTATGTATGAGATAACACGCATCTTGGGGCCGGGGCCTCCCTCCCCCTCCCACCCCGTGCCTTCAAGTGCCCCTCGCCTGCGTGTGAATGACTGCAGGGCGAGAACTTGGAGAGAGGTTAAAAAAATAATAAAATAAAAATAAATTCGATACACATTGTTGACTTCGTCCAGAGCGGATGCCCACGATGCCTACACAGGGATGTACACACACTCACACTCACGTGTGTAGGTATCTATACTGAAGCATTTGCACGCCTCGTACGTGTGAATGGTGGGGGGATGTGCGTGTGCGCGCGCGCGTGTGCGGAGCGGCCGCGCCAGCCTGCAGCCAGACATAATTACTCACATTCCTTCACGTCCAACCAGGCTTCTCTTGAGCTGGCCACGGTCATGCTCCTCCTGCTGTGGCGGCCGTGGCGTGGCGGCCGTGGTGTGGAGGGGTAGTGCTGGTGTGGTGTCGTGTCGGTGTGGTGGTGTGATAGGAAGTACGGCCGGCGGTGCAGCGGCGGGAGAGGGCCGCCCTGGGCCAAAAGGGAGCGACGGCGGCGAGCGACCGGCCTTTTAGCAAGTGCCACAGGTTGCCGCGAGGCCCTCGGCCGCCAGGCGCTTTCATGGCTGGCGAAACTCCTTGCGCTGGGTGGCACTCGATTCCATTTTTTTAAATACGCAATTCGAAACAAGCAGCCCGCTGTGTGAGACGAAAGAGGGGAGGGCGAAAGAAAGAGATAGGTAGATTAATAGATAGATAGAGAGACCAATTCGGATTTTCTAGGGCTTATCCTGCACCCGATACCTGGTTCAACCACCAAGTACCCGTTATACTGCTGACGTCATCATTACCCGGAGTAGGGAGTGGGAGGCGGATGGGTAAGACGAAAAGAGGAGGGGGAGGGGGGGGGGCAAAGGATATAAAGGAATAAAGAAGTAAAAGATAAAACAAGATATCACAAAAGTCAAAATCTTCTTACAAAGAAACAAATGAACTTCGCTCGGGCTTACTAACGATTCCGCAACAGAAGAGTAAAACAAATAAAATAGAATTCAGGGAATAGAAGAAAGAAGAGAAAAGAGAAAAAAAAGAAGAAAGAAAAAAAAAAAACGCGAAGTTAGACCCTGAACGGAAACGAGTCTATGGGTCACGCTCGATGCCCAGGTTAGCTCAGGTTGCAGGGATTGCGTGACCTCCCTTCCCCCTGCCCTGCGCCCCCCCCATTCCCCTCCCCCCTGCCCCTTCCCTCTTCCCCTTCCCCTCTCCCCTGCCCCTTCAGTTCTCCCCTCCTCCCTTCCCCACCTTCCCTTCTCCCATGTACCTTCCGTTTCCCCCTCCGAGAAGGAAGGGGAAAGGAGAAAGAGTAAGAGGGGGGGGGGGGAGGTGAACGAGAAGGAAGAGGTAGGAAGTGAGGGAGAATGAAGGGGTGGAGGGGAGGAGGGGAGAAGGAAAGGAGGGGAGGAGGGAAGGAAGGGGTGGGGGGTTGTGGATCTCCTTAATACGTGAACTTGTCGTAGCCTTGTCAACCGATAGCCCTGTGGTGCGGAAGAGTATCGCAAACTGCTACTAAACAC